GAAGTCGTCGGTCAGAACCTTGTGTCATGTCTGGGCGATATCTTGGCTTGCTCGTCCAACCCTCAAAGCCGAATAAGCTATGGCGTCTTTGGAATGCTACAGCTTCAAAGCAAAAGGGATGATTAGAAATGCAATGTTTAAGCAAGTATGACTACCATAATGGCAGTGGCGAAGAAGCGAGTATGAGGACGGCATCCCGGCTTTATCTTATCGCCTGTCACCCCTCCCCCACCTCCCCCCCAGCAACGTCATCCATCATCACACTCACCGTTCACCGCCAACCCACTCCCTTCTCACCGCATCAAAAGCCATAACAAACAAACGCGACCCCGCCCAAACCAAAACAACACACGAAACAACAGGAAAAAAAAAAAAAAGATGTCCCGCAAAGGCGTCGGCCTCGCCGCCTTCGACCGCTCGCGCCTGACCTCGGCGCAGTACGCGAGCCACGGCTCGACGCTGCGCTCGACCAACGCCCAGGCGCTCGAGACCCAGCTGGCCGTCTTCCGCTCGCTGCTGCAGCAGTTTGCCCAGACCCACGCCAAGGACATACGCTCCAACCCGACCTTCCGCGCCCAGTTCGCCCGCATGTGCGCCGCCATCGGCGTCGATCCGCTCGCGAGTAGCAGTGGTGGTGGTAGTGGTGGGCAGTCTGGGGGTGGTGGTGGGGGGGTTGGGTCAATCTGGGCGCAGTTGTTGGGTCGGTCGGTCAATGATTTTTATTTTGAGTTGGCGGTGCGCGTGGTGGAGGTGTGTGGTGAGACGAGGGGGGAGAATGGCGGGTTGATTGAGCTGAGGAAGGTGCGCGAGCGCATTATGACGAGTCGTATGGAGGGAGCGTCGGAGATCACGGAGTGAGTGCCGCTGGGCTCGTTTTGTGGTTTTGATGTAGTGGACGAGCAGGTCGCTAACAAGCCCGCAGAGACGATATCCTCCGCGCCGTGGGCACGCTCAAGCCGCTGGGGTCGGCCTATTCCATCATCAAAGTCGGCAGCAAGCCGTACATTCGATCCGTTCCCAAGGAGCTCAACACAGACCAGAGCGCCGTGCTCGAGGCTGCCCAGGTACTAGGTTATGTCAGCGTGTCGATGCTGATGGCCAACTTGAAATGGATGCAGGCGCGAGCGCAGACGGCACTGGAAGACCTGATGGCCGAAGGCATGCTTTGGGTGGACAAGCAGAGCGAGGAATGGGAGTACTGGAGTCCTGGGTTTATGCTCGAGACCCAGGATGTTCTAGAGGAAACAGGATGAACTGCCCTCACGGCCGACAACGCAACGGAACGACCGAGACTCAACCTGCGGTATGCGCGGCCATACCCCTCGGCTGTACGGCTTTCTGCATCGATTACTTCCGCCGGTACTGCCTGTCATCCCCGACACCATGGACTGGAGAAATATGCCAGGGCCTCAAGCCTCGTGGGGTTTGGGGAAAGGAGAGAGCCACAGATCGATGAACATGTGATTGGGAAGAAACTGCCAAAGGCCACTCAACACCGAAAAGAAGCCAGGATGGCGCGGTTCGTACAAAACACAGTACAAGAGGGCTATGCTTAAAGCTAGAGCGGCGCTGCAAAGCGGGCTAGAGACCGTTGCCCAGACCTCCGGGGCAAGGTGTGTGAGAGATGGCTGTGCGGCTAGAGTACGGTGCAGGGGCTGGTGTTCGAGGGGAGTTCTCCAGGAACAAGCATACAGCTCGCCGCCCCGGATGGACAATTGGCTGCTTCAGGAACTACTACCTTGCAAATGCATTGGATGCTGCTGGGGTTCAAGATACGAGTCCAACTGGTGGCATGTCAACGTCGCGGGTTACGAGGTATCCAAGCTATTTGTATTCATCTACCCTTCCTTGTCGCAAATCCAAGCCATATCTGACTGACGTAAAGTAACAAAACAACGAACATTATACAGGTATCCCGCCCCGCCCCAAAACTCCCGCAAAGGAGCCTCTTCCAGAAGATCCACAATTCGTCATAAACTCTCGGCCCACTTAGACGCTATACCACCCACCCGCCATCCCATTGAAGGGAGGCAAGCTGTCAAGCGGCACCGTGGTCATATATTCATTCCACGCCACAATTCGCAGCAACACCAACATCAACACTGGCCATCACCGCCGACGACGCCGACACCCTCTGTTTAGTACGGAGGGTTGGGCCCGATGGGAGGGTAGTCCGGGCGCGGTCCGCCAACGGTGGATCCGCCGGGGGTGCGGCCATCGCCGAAGTGCCTCTTGCGCAGGGCGGAGAGGCGCTTCTTTTTGGCGATGGTGTTGATATAAATGCCGAGGATGAAGGACACGAGGTTGAAGAAGGGCATCCAGGTGTTCTCGGGCAGGAACTTTTGCGCAAAGGCGAGGCAGATGGGCGAGGTGATCCAGCTCACGCGCATCACCTTCCAGAAGCTGGCGCGCACCGTCGCCTTGACCTGCTGGAACGTCTCGGCGCCCGCAATGAGGGACATGGCGACGAGGTAAACGCCGTTTTGGATGGGCGCGATCTAAGGCAAGCGTTAATAGGAGGGTATCTAGGAAGGGGGAAAGGGGGGTTATGGATGATTTATCCAAAAGGTTACGTACCACCAGGTTGCTGAACAGGATCTGCAGGATCTTGGCCCGCAGGCTGGTACGCCCGCTGAAGATCTTCTGCAGGAGCCAGATCAAGAAGTGGCCGAGCGGCGCGCTGACGAGAGCGCCGTAAGCGGCCATCTTGGGCACGCGCGAGGTGAAGTAGTTGCTATGCTTGTTGCGGTCCTTGGCCAGCCATGACGCAATGAGCTCCTGGCTACCGGCCAGGGTACCAGCCGTCAGCATCTTGGTGCGCAGAGGGTTGTCCTCCAGTTGCTGCAGGTAGGTCTAAGAGGGGTGGCAAGGTGTTAGCCGAACGGGTTGGCGCATCATCATCGGAGTGTCAGCGCGGGGTGACATACGGCGAGATAACCCTTGGTGCCCGCATTCTTCCTACCGCCGGTGAGGGCGGTGCCGACAACGGCCGAGATGGGGTGCTTGCCGGTGGTGCCGGGCAGTTGTCCATGAGCAGCCTCGGCGATGGCGCTGGCGGTCGACCCTACGAAGCCGCCCTTGTGGGAGACATGGTCGAGGACGGCATCTCGGACAACGTCCTTGACGCTGTCCCGCTCGATCTTGATCGACATGGCTTCGCGATGGTCGTCAAATAGGCATCTAATGATAAGCGGGCCCTGATAGGGAGACCGGATTAGCCCTCTTGCACAATTTTGGCCTTGTGTGCGCTGCGCAATGTGCCGGCGATGCCGTGGTTGCGCCGGGTCAACGCTTTGTTTACAACGGGGATAACACAGCCGGATTGCTGGGGGGAATTGGGGGATTCGGCGGGTCTCGATGCACAGCAGTGTTCTTGGGTGCGTGACCGTTCGCGCTGAATGAGCGGTCGAGACAGGGGAGATGGAGATGGACTCACGATTGATGGAGAAGAGACTCCTGTTCGAGCGATTCGGGTTGGCTAGGAGTGAAATGTGCTGTCGTCGCAAAATCTCGCCTCGCAGCGTCGAAAACGAGTTGACCTGAGAATGGGGAGGCTGGTTTTTTGGATGGGGGACACAGCTCCCCTGTTTGCCGAGCGTCGCGGGCGTCGCGACTGGGCCAGAGTGAGGGGCGCGTGTGGAGACCTGGAAAGTAGGCCAAGGATGAAGCTCCTGATTGGTCGCATTGACGGATGGCCGAGGTTTTGTTTTCCCAGACGCCTTCCCCGTGCTCCCTCAGCTGTGAAGAAGCACGGACAAGTCAGCAAAGCGGCAGGACGGCCCCTGTCTGTGCAGGATAAACCCTGCCAATGTCTCGACCTCGGCCAGTCAACTTCCCACCACGATGCTGCTGCTGCTTCCCAGCCTGGCGACACTTCAATTGGTTGGATTGGGAGATCCGGTGTCGTTAGTTATCCGATGCGTGAGAGAAATCGGGCACATCGTCAAGCGGAAAGAGCCGAATTTAAGATTTTAAGCCGCATTCGAATAGCGTTGAGTCTGTTCAACGCGCCTCGGGGTGCTGATGCTGTGAGCTCGAGCGGCGGGTCTTGAGAGTTTATTCTTGATGACTTGCCTCAGCGGATGTGGAGAAAGGGGGGGGGTGGACTCCCGATTAAGAAGTCAAAAAGCTTACCGATTAACCGTCCGCCTTAATTAATGGAGGGGTATTTGGCTACGAAAACTCCTCAAGGAATTTCACTTCGGTGGGATTCGAACTCGCACCCTTATGGGTGTACCAGGACGAGTTTACAGGCTATGGCGGACTTCAGTGAGTCCGCACTCCCCCCGCTTCGCCAAACTGGTGTGTCTCTTTTTTGGAGGGAGTTGTGGGGGGGAGGCTTGGGCCATGTATATTAAAGGGCCAAGTAATAGGAGAGCAATGGGCGGGGGGGTTAGAGTTGAGATGGAAAGGGAATGATAAGGAGATTATGGAATGGGCGCTGAGGCCTAACAACTCAGTAGACTCAATAGAAATATGATGTTGAGCCATGGTTTTTGGTATTCCAGCGTCGAGAAGTGCCTAACACGGTATCACTATGAGATATGCTGTTGAGATGTATAAGCATAGTGCAAGAAGGCTGGGGGCACCAAGTACACTGGCAGTGTTGTGACGCCAGAACATCGGCGGTGTTCATGTAGGCAGTGGCGAGAGAGAACTTGCGTGAGTTGAACTCAAGCATGGGGCTACGGATCTGGTTATGCACGAGCTTGCAGACTCTTTCTTCATCTCGGCCTAGTCAATATCTCGATACGGAGAGCTACAAGTCTGGCAGCTGGGGAGGAACTGATACTTATCTGATCATTGCTTTCTATTCATCCACGAGGAGCGCGGTGCGTTCCCTGGTCTTTCGACTGAAGTTCTTCAGCAGTTGTTCTAGCAACAAGCCGCACAGTCACTGGCGGCTAAGAAACGATAGTTCCTTCTACCCATCGTGGTTCTCACCTCAAGCTCGCTGTCGACCAAGATTGTCCCTCACAACTTGCAGAAACTAGGCCTTTGCAAAAAAACAACTGTAATCCGCTACTAATCCGATACACATACGGCCCACGAATGGATTCGGAAACCCCAGGCCGTGGCAGCGGCCTTCCTCGCGGCATTCCACAGCCCCTCGCGGCTCCCCGGGAACGACCACCTCAGCAAAACCCGAATTCCTGGACACCAACATGCGACCACTCGGCTATGGCGGTCATTTACGAGGATGCCTTCCAGTGTATGAATTGTGGATTGTTTCCTCCGCTTGGGACACTTTATCGCTGCATCCTGGACAGGGAGTCTCTGATTCAAGACGCGTATAACGATGGATATTCAGTAAGTCGAGTGAAGCAATCGTGGCATAACGTTGCTGAGACGCCAAACAGGTCGCTTTTGACTCTATCGGTCGTTATTTCGAAAAAGAAATGTCTCTTGGAAAGTCTGGGCCTGACGTCCGAAGTGAGCCAGACAGCAGCCCTCTGACCGAGATGCCCGAGGAGCAGTTATCCTCTTATACGCCGGAGCAGCTTAGCATTTTAGAATCACAGCGTAACAACGTGCGCTATACGCCCAATATTGCACCTTACTCTTCTGTTTTCTGACCTGTTATCTAGGTCCACAACACAATAGCCAACGAGCGCAGCATTCTTGAACACCTCACCTCCGAGTGTGCGAGAGACAAATACCCCTACGACGCGAAACCGTGGGTTCCCGCGACGAAGGCCGAATGCCAATACAAAGTGTGCAGCCCGTGTCATAGACTGGGATACGAAAGGACTTGGGTCAGCCTGAACTCGATCCTAAACGAGGACATCCCGCCCAATGTTGCAACCGGATTCTCCTTCAGTTTCGCGAGGGAAAGGCCGATTTGCGACGCCTACGTAGTCAGAAATATCGGAGTCCGCCCTATTCCACTAGTAAGAACTACTTTATTATGTCTTTATGAGAATCTTAGTATCTAACCGCCCTCAGCCTCCGCATCATCCAGCGATGGCCTCCGAGGCTATTACCCCTCTACCCCCCATTGTCCCCTGATATGCGGCGAGGACAACAATTTAGCTTTACTCAATAATTACTATAGCCAATACACACCCCTACAGAGGTAGGGGGCCCCCCCGCGGGGCCGCAAAGGAACTCGCAAAGATCCAATCGGAGTGCCTCAGGGTGGTCGCTGGGGCCTACAAGGCTACCCAAATACGGAGCTTGGAGACAGAAACCTATTGCCCGCCCATCGGCCTGTACCTCAACAGGAGGCTCCTTGCCTTCGAGGATCGGGTTAGGATATCAGAGGAGGCGAGGCTAATCCGCCCAGACCCCTGCCACAATCGCTGCGATCCTGCGGCGGAGGCGCAGAAGGGGGAGAGGAAGACCCCGGCGGGAGATAGACGATATAGCAACGGCACTAGCGGAAAAGGGCTCAGGCGAATGGAAGAAGAGGTGGGCACAGGAGTGGGCCCCCCTCGAGTCGAGGCCGGAAAAGGAGGAGCTAGAGCCAGGGTCAACCGGCCCAGTACCAAACCACAAGAAACAGCTGGAGAGGTGGATGGAGGAGGCAATGAGAAGGGAGTGGATTGGAAGATGGGAGAGTGAGGTAGCTAGGGTGGTCGCTAGGAACCCGGGGCGGGCCCTCGAACCGGCCGATGCGACCGCGCGGTTCGACGCCTCTATCATGAACCGACACCGGTCGAGGGACCCAGCCTGGGAGCTATCGAAGGCGAAGAGTACTCTCCTAGTGCAAGCGAGGACCGGGAAGAGTGGGCTTCGAGGGTTCCTCTTTACTAGGAGGGTCCCCGAGGTAGTAACGCCGGTATGCCGCTGCGGTATGGCGCGCGAGACATTCGAACACCTCGTACTCGAATGCAACGGAGCCGCAGATAAACCTCATCCCTGGCCAGACGACGGCGCAGAGCTACTGGAGTGGCTAGATGACGTGAGAAGGCTGCCATAGTGGTGGGGTGGGTGCTTGGGCTGGGGAGGCTGAACGAGTTCCGGTTGGCGGTAGAGCTGGAAAATGAGAACAACGAAGAGGCCCGCGGCGGGGCCAAAGCGGAGTAGCAGAAGGGCATCGATGGAACAGAGGTTACGACTCATTTTATCTATTGCGTTACTTTGACCTCGGAAGGTGGGTGAGCCCTTTCGAGGAGATGGATCCACGGGGTAGCGGCAAGGCCGCAGCGGAGGTGCGGAGGTTTTCATCTAGCTTAGGCATGGTTTTTCCTACCGAGTTAATCGCTGAGGGACCGCATGTACTTGGTACCTAGCGTGATAAGAGAAATAATAATAATATAGCCAATACAGATGTCGTTAGTTATTGATGCTGTGAATGCCCGTGATCTGACGTGGTTCCTGGGCAGACTTTGGTGCTTGCTCTTGCGGCCTGCCACACTTTGTACCGTTTATATTATATGACCGGCATAGTGCTATATTGTTATCCCCAAATACCCAAGCACTTCCCCCAAAAACAGCGTGTTGCTGCCACGCCGTGCCTTCCATCAGGCCGACACATTTGAGCACTGAGGCGTCGGCATCACAACAACGGTACCGGACTCCCTAGCCGCCCTCACCGTTTGCCTCCAAACAGGCAGCCCACGACATCACATAGGAATCGCCTTCATCTCCTGCACCGTAAAATGCCTCCGCATCTTCTCCGCCCCGAGATCCCTCACCTCCTGATCCAGATGCTGCAGCAACACATCCCCCCACGAATCCATCTTAGCCTTCAAAACCCCCAACTCCAACTCACACTCCCTCTCCTTACACCGCCGCAAATAATCCGCCGTTTCATCCATCCCCTCATGAATAACCCTATGCTGCCGAAGCAACTCACACTCCTCCGAATCCCGCCGCTTCTTCCCCCCACCACCGCCACCCTTCTTCCCACCTCCCAACCCACCCGCTCCCGCCCCCGCCGACGTCGCCCGAAACTCGGGCATCTTGCGCCCCAGCAGCGGATACAGGTGGGTCTCCTCGATCGAGTGGTGCATCTCCAGGTAGCGCGCCAGCCGCAGCCCCTCGTCAATGAACTGCTTCAGCGACATGCCTGCCGGCCGCCGGTTGGTGGTGCAGGCCGTGTGCAGGGTGGTGTACATCTGGCGGAAGTGTTCGTGCTAGGGAAAGAGAAGGAGGGGGGGTGGGCTGTTAGACTTGGTGTGTGTGGGTTCGGGGGTGAGAGAGGGAGGGGTAAGTACATACAAAGTATTCCATTTGTTCGGCGAGGCGGTTGTAGATGCGGAATTCCTGCGGTGTTAAGGGGGGGAGGGCAGGTTCGGGTTCTGCTTCCTGTTCCGGGGCAGAGTCGGGCCCGGGGATGGGAGTCGGGTTGTCTTTTGCCGGCGGCGCTTCCGTGTTTGTGGGGACCACGTCCCCGGGCGTCATGTCTTGGGACATTGTTGCGTCAAAGTTTCGGAGCCGGCTACTACTTGTAAATAGACCAAAGATAAAGAAACGGTAAGAGGGTTACGCAGTGTGTTGTGGTTCGTTGGCTAGCTGGTAACCAGAAGTGATTCGGGGTATTAACTCTGTAGGCAAATTGGGGCGGTCTCTCGAGAGATATACCATGCGATGAAGGGACAGGCAGCCCTCACTGTAGCGGACTGGGAGATGCCTTTTTAGTTCCTGGAACCATTCCCATTGGCTGTATGTCAGCCATTAGTTAGTAATTAATCCACTAGCAAAACAGCACGGTGGCCCCCCTGCCCCCCAACCGCGCGGTGGCCGCATTCGTCTCGCCACTCAAGGAGTTTTCGACCGCGCGGGTGCTGCGATGCAACCTTGGCGTCGAGACAAAATCACATACCGTATCGACAGGACTTGATGGTTTCATGTAGCTCTCATTATCATTCCTTCGTTAAACTCGTCTTTATCTACCGCCACTGTTCTATATGACTCTGCAGCCAGGATGCCACCCCCGGTCGCCCAGGCCTCATCCCATACGAATCATGTATGTACGCCTGTAAATTGAAGGACATCGAAAACACCGAAACGCCATCCAAGCAGCCGGTTACTGATATTCCGGCTTGAGCGTCCAAATCGCCCGCATGCTCGACCCGCGTTTCTCCATCTTGGCCACCTTGCTCAGCGCTGCTTTGAACGCGTCTGCCTGCCGAGAGCCGCTGCAGAACCGGTTGAAATGGTCCACCAACAGCTTTGACGGCGCCTGACCATTGTGCCGCCTGATAAAATCCGGTATCATTTTCTCAAAATCCTTCGCTCTGAGATTTTGGTCCACTGCGCCGGGCGTACCCGGCCTCGAGTTGCCGGGGCTACTAGAGCCGAAGCCCTGGCGGTTGGCAACGCCAGCCAATATACTAGACGAGCCCGGCCCCCCGCGCCCACGCCGGACGTTGGTAGGCCGGCCGGCCTCACCAACCTCGCCAGTCCACGTCACGGTGCCGATGGGCACGTTCCGGGCTTGCTCGCCTGCCCAACGGAGACCGAGGGCCGCCTGTGCGGCTATTCGGTTGGCCTCCTGCTGGAGCATCTTACGATCTGCCTTTACGGTCTTTTTTGCCGTTAATGATTTCGTCGTGCTCAAGGAGGCTATGGACGCCTGACTTGGCGAAAAGCCCTTCCATGAGTCTGTCCTCCTCGTTTGTGGGCGGTGCCGATGGATCCTCAAACGTTTCGAGGCCAGCAACTCCGTCGATCTTGCGAAGATCGTCGTCTCTTTCATCTACGTCGTTGCGCCCAGTTTCGGGTGACCTGGTGCCGACTTGCCGAGGCTTGAGTGGCACCGCATCGTGTCCGGGTACGATGAGTTCCTTCGGGCCGGAGCGCTTGAAGTTTTTGGCATCACTGCCTTTGAAGAGCTCGCTCGTCTCAGTCACACCGTGCTCATAGGAGCTGAGACTGAAAAGATCGTGCAGGTCGTTGAGGTTGAATGTTGTTTGCTGTTTTGGGTCTTTTAATACCTTGTTTGAGAGAAATTGCTTAAAGATTTGGCGGTGGTATATCTTCTCTTCAATCGTTCCGGCCGTCATCAGCCGGTAGATGGTAACCTCCCTTTTCTGGCCCAGCCTCCAAGCCCGCTCTCTCGCCTGGACATCCGTAGAAGGGTTCCAGTCGGGGTCGAAAATAATGACGCGGTTGGCTCCCGTAAGGTTCACACCCAGTCCGCCGACCTTTGTTGTTAGCAGAAACACATCGAGCTCCGGGTCAGTGTTGAACTGGTCGACGAGCGTCTGACGTTGCTTGACCGGTGTTTTGCCGTCCATGCGAATGTACTTGATATTGTCGAGTCGCTGAATGAATGCTTCTATGACATCCAGCATTTGGACACCCTGACAGAACAGCAGCGTCTTGTGCCCTAGGCGCTTCCACATCGGGAGGAGCGACTTGACTACTGCCATCTTGCCCGATTTGCTTTCATCGCCCCACGCATAGCTAGGTTTGTTCTTTAGCCTCGGGTCCAGTAAATCAGGGTGATTGCAAATCTTGCGAAGGATATCGATTCCGTATAGTGACTGCCGCGTACGGTTGAGGATGGACGCCATGTCTTCAGACTTGAGGAAGAGTTCGTATGCCTCCCGCTGCGGCTTTGATAGCTTGCAGAAAAGCACCTGCTCGCTCTTCTTGGGAAGGTCAGCAGCGACATCGACCTTCAACCGCTGGAGTAGATAGGGGCTGATCGCATCCTTGAGCGTCTCAGCGCACTTCTGCGCAGTCATTATCTGCAAGTTCGTGGCATTGGCATAGCCTCCGAGCCTGATTGGTATCTCGAACTGGTTGCGGAACGCGACTAGGGTACCGAGACGCATGGGGTAAACGAAATCAAATAGAGACCACAGCTCAGTCAGATTGTTCTGCATCGGGGTACCAGATAGGATGATGCGGTTATGTGTGCGGAGCTCTTTGCAGTAAATCGTGATGGCTGTGTTCGGATTCCGGATTTTGTGGCCTTCATCGAGGACGGCGTAACCCCAGTCTACGGGGATCAAGACGTCGCCATATGTCTGAAGACCGGCGTATGTGGTGACCAGCACATGGCCCTGTTTGACCACTCGGTCAACAATCCTTTTCACGGCTGTGCTGGACTTGCTGGGTTTCTTCTCTTCCCAGTCGTCCACGTGATCTTCGATCTCACCCTCATCACGAACATTGAACATGCCGCTTCCGGATGAGTGCAAAATAGAGACGCGGAGTGGCGGCCACCAGCGATGAAACTCATTGACCCACTGGCGTAAGACGGTGGCCGGGGCAACCACAATGACGGGCTTATGTAGCGTTTTGCTGTAATGCAAGGCGGCGATGAAAGAAATCAGCTGCACTAGGGATTTGTGAGTTCCGCATCCCGGTGAAACGGTAGCAAGTGCGTTTAGGAAAGACAGACCTGTTTTACCCAGCCCCATCTCATCGCCAACGATGCCGCCGACCTGCTGGGCATAAAGCTCTGCCAGCCATTGTACACCGGTCTTTTGATAGTCGAAGAGAGAAGGGTAAATGTCGCCGGGAAGCTTCAGGCCATTCTCAAAATGATGGTCGGGTTGATCCGGCGACGGTTTGAGCCATTCCTCTACGCCATCCAACTCGCCGATCACCGGTTGGCCCATCGTCTCTTGGCGGCGGAGCCGAGCCCGACTTCGTCGCTCGGTCCAGTCCTTCAGTCTTCGCTGGTAGACGGTTTCGTTGCCATCGTCTATGTTGCTCAGATCAACCTTCTCCCCGGCTTCTCTGACCGCCTTCCCTCGCTTCCGTTTTGGGGTGGTGTCTGTCATGTCAAAATCATCGGAGGGAGAAGATTCGGGGCTGGCTGCTTCTGAAGCAGATCCATCCGGCATGAACTCATCGCCGGACTCCGAAGATGGTTTCTGTATCTTTTGTTTCTTGCGCGGACGAAGGGAGAACTCGGATTCCACGGCGGAGCTGGAAAGGCCCTCATTATCTTCAATGAAACCGGGCAATCTAAGATTTTGGTGGGAGCGGGGTCCTTCTCCAGCCTGCTCCTCAAGTTCATCCGCAATAGCCTCATCCTCAGCGTCGATTATGGCATCGGCGAGCTCCCCCTGAACGCCGCCGGGCCGGGGTCCACCAAACGAGGCGAAGGGAGTGATCTTTCCGGTCCGTATGAGATACTCGCGCTGGTTCTCACCGGGCAGTTTTCCACCGGCCGCAGAGGCTTGACTGTCTAATGCATCTTGCTGGTTCCGTTGCTCGATGCGGGCATTAAAGTCGGCAACGTCCTTTTCACAAATCTCGATCTCTGCATCAATCCTAGCAATTTCTCGCTGAATTCGTAGTGTCGCCGCCGGATCCGCTCGTGCGGCACGGAGTTTCTGCTGCTGCTGTTTTCGTTGGCCTTCCAACCTGGACTTGGATAGCTCAGCCTTCTCAATGCGCTTTTGATCTCGTCTGTCCTCGGCTTCAATCAAGGCGCGACTGGCTTGAGACGTGATATCCCGTTCGAGCTCGTCTTGATCTCGGACATTTTCGGTTAGGAGCTTGAGGGCTGACTCCTCGTCATCCGTGGCCGCTTCGCCGTTGCTTGGGGTCGAGGTGGCATCCTCAACGGGGGTAGGATTAGCGGTGTCGGTTAACGCTTGAGGAGAATTCGAGCTTTGGGCTCCGGAATCCATTGCGTTGTTGGCGAAAGGAAAAGAGTGGTAGGCTGCGCAGAGTTGAAAGAAGACGAAGACGAATAAAATATATATATTATAAATCCGCGAGGGACAAAGAACGCTCCGTGCTGGCGAGTCGAGTACTCGCGGGTGGAAATCAAGGGCGGCACATGCTGGGGCAATAGAATCGAGCCGATCTGCAAACGAAAATGATCGAGACAATGATGACAGGTGGGTCTTTTAGGTAGCCGGTGACGGTGTTGCGAAAGAAGGCGTCGATCTGAACGGAATCGCGAATAGCGTGGTGCTGGAGCGTGCGCGCTATCACGTGACCTCAATAGAAGATCTGAATGACGCACTGAAAGCCTGGCGCCGAGCTTGACTCCAACGTGGCTTACAACACCAAAGCCTCCTCTTTAAGTTACAGTTTGGCTTTGAACTACCACATACGACCACACCTGCCAGAAAACACGGGATCCCGTCCGCTCTCCCCTAGTTAAACTCGCAAGGGCCGGATCAGTAGTTGGGTCGGTGACGACCAGCGAATCCCCGGTGTTGTATGTATTTTGCATTTATTTTTTTGCCCCTTAACTGAGCATCAGCTTCTTGTTTTTCTTCTCTTCGTTTTGCCCACTTAACGAATTTGCTGTTATTCATGCGCTTAGGATGAAATACCCTCCAGATTTACGCGTCTGTTAGAATCTTAGCATCAAGAACCGAGAGGCAGGTGCGTGCATGAACATTTTTGGAGAGGCCTCCGTTTCCCTGGGTAGAGTTGCCGGCACATACACGCGGTGGGAATTTGACACGCCACGGTGTGCTGTGGAGGTATTCATGTGTAAATGATTCACGACGCGCATGATGCGTTTCTGCAAAAGGATAGAATACATTGGCTTATCTGACCTAGAAACTGTTGTGTCTCGGGGAGAGAGCACGAGGCGAGTGATTGTCGTCCTTCCCAGGGGTCAAATCCATCCGAGTGATGCTCGTCACCAGCAAGTACACCCTCCCACAAACCTACCTACTATGTATGCTGTTTTCAGCGGCACACGGCCCTAGCTCTTGGCCCACAAGGCTGGGGTACCCGTCCAGGGGTAAACGGATCATGGCTCAGAAAATCTTTATACACAGTAACCCCGAGTGGTCTTGCAGGGCGGGCCGCACAAATTACCGGCAGACTCGGTAGAGACGCTGCTATGTAGATATTGGAAGGAATGTGGGAATCCGCCATCCACACAAGAACCCAGGCAGGCTCGCAGGCCCTGGCAGGTAGCAATGTTCAACTTTGTTTCCCTCTCTCACCGTTATAGCTGCAACGTTGCGCACTCAAGGGTATGCCCCTGTCTGATCAGATATCAAGCCGGGTCACTCCAGGGACGGCGCAGCACTATGTACCCTCGCGGAAGGGGGGGGGGGGGGGCTTAAACTGCCCCCCGATTCCCGAAACTTGGAACCGCCCATGGGGTGCGTTGTCGTTGGCTCCAAGGCTCCGAGGCTCCAAGGCTCTCCGCCCCGGTCACATCCAGAGTGCCGCCCCGCCTTCAAGGGGTTCGAGGAAAATGCAGACCAATATTGGCGCCCAATGGGGGCCGGACACGCGCGATTGCGTCTCTCCTTCTCCGACGCCGCGTTCCTTGCACGTCGACCCTTCATCTCTCTCTTCTTGTTCACCGCTCCTCTGAGGGAACTCATACTGTTCTCGAAGCCGGGGCAAGAAAAGCAAGTTCAGATGCTTCCCGAGGCAGATCCGAGACGTCCCGAATAAGGCGACACCACCGCGAGTCCAGGAGGTGTTGGGGTCCAGGTTTTGTCCATCCCGCCAGAACCAAGATGTTCCGCATTCCCTTCGCAGGCCCCCGTTCACTGCCAATCGGGAGTGACCTGGCTTGTTCTGGGCTTAGCGGGTCCCAAAATATTTGTCTTATGATGGGTGATATAGCCCAAGCCAAGGAATAAGCCGTTCCACTCTTGCAGAACGCCTGGGCGAGTCGTCTTTCAAATCCTCCGGCTTTCAGGCCGTCGCCCGAAGCTCAGATTTTTCTGGTCAAGCTGGCCGCTCCTGGTCGAGAATCGAGGTCCCCATGGCGGAAGAACCCCGTGGTTGACTCGGGAGGGCGTCAGATGGGAATCACCCCATGTGGTAATGTTGTTTCACATACGGCGGATGAAAATAAGTGATCAATAATGTGGTTAACCACCATGACAAACGCAAAACCCGGAGGCTTTCCCAGCGCTTAGCCAGTGCCGCTGAACCAAATTCAGGCCTTTGGTGTTGTGCTGGGGCCGCCTCACACTGATACTGCATTGACGGAGACCCGGGTCGTTTTTTCGTGCCCTGCGGTAGTTGGGGTCAGCATCCAGTCGCGAGAAGGCATGCAGTCGGCGCAGGCCTCTGATTCTGGCCCCGAGAATGCAGGTCCCACTGGTTACCCGGCTGGAGTGGCCCGGCGGCCAGAGGTTCTAATTTAAACGAGACTGGAGCACCTTCTTCATCAGGGAGCTCCCAACAGCAAGTGTATGAGCTAGAATTCTCCCGTAGAGCAGCCTAAGTTGAACCAGCGTGTAGCCTGACGCATCAGCGTCGGCATCGACGTCAAATCGGCACTTCTAGCGAGAACAAGCAGATCAGATTACCAAATCTTCCCTGCATGCGAGCATGAATCCAGACATTGTGGCCCTAATCTCCGATTGGGTAGCTGCCCGTTTGTGGTCGTAATGTTGGGCAGCCCGTGACTCGCTTGAGCATATGAGCTGTGGATGCAGTCTGCTCCCGTGTTTCGACGCCTCGGCCACAGCTCCGGACGAGGCTGGGATTGGACAGTAGAATGCTCCCACCAAATCTGCTTGCCGCGCCCCTAGTAACCTGCTAAACTCGGATTAGGCCAAGCCAAGGAGGTTGTTGTTCTGGTTGTGGATAGCGGAGGAGGCGATAGCCGAAGTCGCTCACATCTCCCACGCATTTGACAGGAGTATCGGTACCGTCAATAACCGCGTCAAATACGGCCTTGCAGCAAACGCTGGCTTGCCGGAAAGAGATCGGCGTCACAGCCGTGATGCGAGGAGGTTGCCGCGATTGAGGCGGATGTAACTTGACGTTACCTTGAGCTTCGCTTGACCTGGCCATCCAATGCAAATCTGGGAGTGATAAAACTCAGTATGTCCGTCCCTTCGACGCCGTGGCTAGGAGTATGCCCTTCTGGTGGTGACCTCTTTGCCGAGAGGTGGGGGGGGGAGGGGCGGGCGCGCATATTTTCCGGCTTTCTTCCATGTCTTCGGCTTTGCGAGGCTGTCTGGACTATTGCGTTCTTGTCGACCGGAGGTTGGAGTTTGTCGAGCGGTCACCAACCACCCTGTCAGGGCAAGGGCTGGCTTGACGGCAAGTGATCGGGCCTGGGGTTTCGGCAGGGCAGGTGGGGAGACTGGGCCTCAACCTGCAGCGGCGCAATTGTTAGCCTGAAAGGATGCCTTGGGCCCTTCGCTCCACCTGTCCTTCCAACTCCAAATCTGGAAAGAGCCAAAACTGCAGTACGTCCAAGACCGGTTCGAACACAGAGGCTTTTTCTGTCGAAGCCTTTCAGGTCGATCACCTCCCTTTACCGCGTGATGCGGGCGGTTGAGGCGTTCGCGCATATTTTCAGGCTTTCTTCCATGTTTCTTCCCACAGGTTGGCGGTGATATTCGAGAGCACCCACAGAGTTCTAGTCGTCCGGAGGTACGAGCTCAGTCCAGCGGTCACCAACGCAACCTGGCAGCACCCCTAGCGCGAGGGGGACTACTACGGACGGCCCTCCTACTTAGGCAACTTCCTTCCGTTGGGAAGGACAGGGGCTCAACCTCCAACGCCGCAATTGCTTTGCTCGAACTCGGCAACTTGGGCCCACCGCCTATTCCATCATTTTCGCCCTCTCACTCTGGGAAGGAACCCAGGGAACCTTGGCAGCTAACGTTCCAAGAATGGTTTGAACACAAGGCTTTTTCAGTAGAAGCCCGTTTCAGGTCCATCCCAACTCCCCTTTAGCGCGTCACGCGGCGGTTTCGAATTTTTCTTTTCCTCGCAGGCGCCAGCAATTGTTTCATCCCACAGGTTGGCGTATGATTATTCGAGAAGCAACCCACAAGTTCATCGTCCGGAGTACGGTGTATGTGTACCGTAGTATTTACTTAAGTATATACGGTGTACCGTCAGGGATCCGCTATCTCTTGATTGCGCACTGTGATCACGGTGCGAAGGGACCCTTGAGTCCCTCGCGTTTAGCTTGGGAGACGGCTAATGACGAGCTTCCAACGGGCCAACGGCACACCTTGGTTCAATGGTCTTCATCGGTTCCATGTTCTTTGACGGCAAATCACCGAGTTCCGGCCGCCAAGTCAGGTTTTGGAGTTGTCGGCAGCTTCCGTAAAGGTACCGCGATTATTTTTGAAAAGTGCAACACAAACCGGGACAGGCAGCAGCAGTGCGAGAGGACCACCGCTGGTGCGCTGTCAATTGTGGCAGGTATCCGAGACTGGGTACTTGGGTCTTGGCGAAAACCGTTGCACTGCCAGGGTCATCTGGAGGATCGACATCGAAATCGACATGGGATGGAGCAAAGCCCATGTCACTTTCAAGCGAGCTGTCCCATTTGGAGCAGCGACAGCAAATTCATTGAGAGTCGCAAAAATGAAGAGAGCGGTAGAAATGTTATTTTTTGGTGAGAGCCCGCCCATGTAGCTAAACATTAACTGGTCTGATAAAAAAAAAAAGGACAAACTGGATCACAGCACCCAACGTCGTGGGGACTGGATCAGGCAAAAAGCGCATTAGAAACCATTCCTCCTGTGCCGGGCTTGATGCATCGTCGCAGCACCGCAGCCGACTTGATCGCAGACAAGCCCTGACCAAACCAAATCACACACCGTTCCTCTCCTTGATGATCATCCAGTCCATGTTTATCCAATAACCCTCCAACCCCGGTACTATCCCTTCCATGGATGCTATGCCTTCCATGGAGGTTAACAATCTAGGTCGTCATCATCACTCGGCCGTATACTCCGGTGGTGGGCCGGTTATCATATGCATCGTCTCTCCCACCAAGCTCTTTCTAATGCCTTGAAAACCAATGCTGTGTGGAAAAAGAAAGAAAAAAATTAACATAAGGAAATATCGAGACAGGTAGGTAAGTAGGTATCTTTGGCGGTTTCTGGGTATCTCCAACATTAAAGTCCGCCTCTTAGAAGTAAATCCAAACCCAACGCACCGCCTATTGACCGGGGAAAAACGCATGCAAGAAAATAAACCAAGGGTTGTGTCAAGGACAAGATACTATAAAAGAAAGAAGGAGTGGTGGATAAACGGGAGTAAGTGATCGAAGCTAAATCGGAACCGCGCCCTCAGGCCGCGGCCAACCACCATGCACCTCGCTGAAACAAATGTTGTAAGTGCCGACTATTATTGTACTGAGGTACATGTGGATTTCGAAAGATTGATGGACCTGATTATGTCGATTATTTTGGCTGCGATCTTGCCGCTGCTGGGTGTTCCGGCATCGTGTGACGGAAACTGTCACTTTGGGGCGTGGGCATGGCAAGAATCTCGTGCCGGCTGTGGTAGTTTCTGGTGTCCATGATTTGAGAGTTGTTGTGTGTATTTCGTCACGAAAGTTGTGATGGGTAAAGAGTAGTGTCCCCTGCGCCAGGAGCCGAAGCCCCTGGCGGAGACAGCGACTGCTATAAGTTTTCACCCGGCAACTGTGCCGCCCGTTCGCGACAAGCTGCCGGTGTAAAACCCGTGCCGACCTTGTTGGCGATTATGCGCCATTTTTCGTTTTCGTAGTCCTGGAGTGCAGTTCTGAGTTTTTGGTCCTGTAGTTTTGCTATTTGTCAGTCACTGTCACCTCCGTCTGTTGCTCCCGGAGTTCTTTCAGCAAAGGCACACTGACCGTCTCGTCTGTCCACTGCGTCGTCTTGGCTTTGAGCTTTGTACAGTAGCGCACTTGGAGCGTCCCACTCGATCTTCCGGGAAAAAAGTCCGCGATTTGTTTCCAGGTTAAATTCTTATTCTCCTTGAGATCAACCAGGAGCTGATCATCCTCTGGGGTGAATTTCAATTTCGGCCCTCTCGGCCGTGGGGCAGGTGCTGGCATTCCGGCCTGGCCCACCATGCTTGGGGCTCCTCCGCCACTGCTGTCCCCGTCCCGTCGCATGAGCTTGTTGGGCGGCCCGGTGTCTGGTAGTCGATGGTGGTGATGTGTCGGTGGGGCGGACGCCTGTCCGTAAGCGGCGCCCATGGGTGTCTGCTGCATCGACTCTAGATCGCTGTGTTCGAGGTCAGACATGTCAGGGACGGAGAGGCCGAGATCATCGGGCCGTGGCCGTTTTACTCCCGCAGTGTGGCCGTGTGTTGGAGTTAGAGATGGATAGAGGGGCGCTACAGCAGTATGGGGCGAAGGGCCGGCGCCGAAATGCGACGGCCCCGGATGCCCCATATGCCGGGCCGACGGGTGCCCAGCAAGGTGGCTCGGATCGGTGAGGATCGGGTGGGGGTGATGGGCGGTGTAGTGTTGGGGGCAGACCGTGATGCGACGGGTGGGGAGGGGGGTCTTGTAAGGAGGAACGGCCCAGTCTGCTGGATGAAGCTCGATGGTGTGTGCATCATATGGGTGCGGAGCTTGGGTCTTGCTCCCCGGAAGCAGCTCTTGGGGGCG